TTTCAAACTCTTTTTTTTTTTTTGATTTGAAAATTTTAATCTGAAAATTATTTTCCCAAGCATTCTTTTTTATTTATTTTTTTGTTATTATTAAAACATTTAATTTTTAACCTTTGGGAATTGGTTTTATTTATATTAATTTATATTTTTTTTATTTAAAAATATTTATTTATTTATTTATTTTGTGTTTTTATTTTTAAAAAAAACTAAAATTTTTTTTTAATTAACTCCTTAATTACTAATGAGTCATAATTTTGTGGTTTTTATAAAATTTTCTTATTTTAAAAGCTTAAAAATTGTGTTGTTCAATCTCATTGAAATTTTTTTGAGAGGAGGGGGGGGTTTAATTTTTTGAGGGAATATTTTATTTTTTTTTTTTTTCGTCCACCTCGTTTGTTAATTTTTTTTTAATTTAATAATTGTGTTTTTAATTTTAATTTAATCTAAAGAAAATAAAACACTCATTTATTTTGTAGTTTGGGCAATTACAAAAAAGTCGATATATCTCTTTTATTAAATTTTTTTTTTATTAACTTTTTTTTTATTGCCTTTTTTTTTTTTTTTTTTTTTTTTTTTTTTTTTGTGAATTGTCTTGACAAAATTTTTTTTTTTTTTTTTTTTTGTGATCATCAATAATTTCATTATTTGAAATGAGCAATGATGATTTTTTTCTTCATTTAATTTTTTTTTTTTTTTTTTTTTTTTTTTAATCTTAATCATTTTATAATTACTTTATATTTTCAAACCCCAAAAGTCTAATCAATCAAAAATGAATCACTGTAAATCTATCAATAAAATTTATGATCACTTAGATTTTTATTTGAAAAGAAGTCATCCATTTGTAATATGGAAAGAAGAACATTTTTTTTTTTTTTTCTGTTTTTTTTTTTTTTTTTTTTTATTTATTTAAAAATAACTTATGTTATTAGAATTCCAAAAATTATAATAAATATTTGAATTTTTTTACTTTAAACTTGAATACAAATAGTTATTGATCTTAAATATAGTAATAATTAAAAAGTTATTTGATTATTATTTTTTGGAGGGAAAAAAAAAAAATAAAATTTAAAACTTCACTTTTTTTTCATTTTTTTTAAAAATTTATTTTTCATTGTTTTTTTTTTTTTTTTTTTTTTTGCTTGTGGCCATCGACAAAAATAAACGTAAACATACAAGATGAACCAGTCAGTGTATGAATTAAATACCAATAGATATGGAGTTGGTAACACGAATATAAATCAACAAACACAAACACAATCACAACAACCCCAACAACAACAACAACCCCAACAACAACAATCACAACCAACATCACCATCTCAATTATTGCAACCACAATATTTTGGTAAACAACAAATTGCAGATTATATCGATAAAATATTTGAAAAGAAGATAAAAGAATGGAAAACATGGACATTTTCATCAGTTTTCATCATATTTTTACCATTACTATTAATTCAAATGTTATTTTTAACATTTATGTTTTCACCAGCAGCAATAACAACAACAACAACAACAACAACAACAACAACAACGGTAGAAACATCAAAAATTTCAATGATATTAAAAACAGCTGGTAATCATATATTTGGGATAACATTATATATGATTGGTCAATTAATATTGGGTACATCTTATCACTCAATTTCTAGTGTTTACAGACAAGTACCAGCATCATTTAAAGAACAATTCACAATATTATCAGTACCACACATCATATTCATATTTTTGAACACTTTGATTCAACCTTTGTTCTTATATTTCTTTTTCACCATTCCATTAAACAAATTTTCATTATCTTCAATAATCGAAGTTTGTTATCAAGATTTCTCCGAAACAATTCCAGTGTATGTATTCATATCGATATCGATATATTTATAAATACAATTTATCGTTTCTCTAATATTCAATTTATTTTTTATTTAAAAAGAGCAAAATGTGAACTTGAATATAATTTATTCTTTTATTTATTTGTTATATCATGTATTGGATTAGTTTGTTCAGGATTATTTAGAATTTATTCGAATCAAGAATTTATCTATTCATTCCCAAAAGCAAACATACCAACATTTCTTCAAATTAAATCAATGCTCTATAATAACTTTTGGATAAGTTTTTATACTTCATTTTATTTATTCTTTTTAGGTTCATTTTTATTGGGTATATTATTTTTGTAAGTAAATTTTAGGTATAAATTAAATTGTTTACAAATAGTTGATGAATACTAATATAACGGTAAATTACTTTTATAATTTTTTAGAATATTATTTAAAACCTTTACAATTCAAATTTTAATATTTTCAATTAAATTATGGTGTTTTACATTTGCAATTATTTTCCAAAATTTAACAAGAAATAGATTATTTGAAATTTACTTTACACGTGGTATTAGATTTACATTGGAAAACTTTAATAGTGTAGCATTTGAATCACAACCACCATTGAATAGTCAACAAACATTATTGGCTATAAATAATAAACCAGTCATTGAGAATGGTACTATCTTTTTATTGAAAGCAATCTATAGTGATGATCCATTAATTCAAGCATTGGGATGGAAAGATTTCCTTCATCTTTCAAAATACTCTCAACAAAGAAGATCTTATCTCTACAGAGAAATGAGTGAACTCTTAGATGATCCTTCAATTTTGAAAATAATCCGTCAATATGAAGATCAAATTCACGATTTATCTTTAAAATTATCTGTATGTATTTATTTATTTTTTAATAATAATAACAATATTTTTTGATGAATTATTATTAATAATTATTAATAATTATTATTATTATTATTATTATTATTATTATTATTATTATTATTATTATTATTATTATTATTATTATTATTATTATTATTATTATTATTATTATTATTATTATTATTATTATTATTATTATTATTATTATTATTATTATTATTATTATTATTATTATTATTATTATTATTATTATTATTATTATTATTATTATTATTATTATTATTATTATTATTATTATTATTATTATTATTATTATTATTATTATTATTATTATTATTATTATTATTATTATTATTATTATTATTATTATTATTATTATTATTATTATTATTATTATTATTTAATAATAGTGTCCAAGAGAATATTATGAAAATTTGAATAGTGGTAATATTAAAAAAGAGGATAATATTAAAAACAATAACAATAGCAATAATTCAACAATTTTCAAAATTGGTAATAATATTGAAAAGATTATAAAGAAAACATTAAATTTTATAAGTGGTATCAAATTTGATTATAATTTATATGAATGTGAAATTAGACAAGCATTATCAAATACACAATCTATTCTATGGTCAATTGAATCAATTGGATCATTGATCGTATCAGCACAGATAAATGATGACAGAGAGACTATGGAACTCTTACATAGATATCAAATTCCTCAAAAGTTTTTAATACCATTATTCCAAATTTTGGCATTAATCGACCAATTGGAAAAAGATTTATCCCATCAGATCGAATTGGATAAATTTACAATCAATAGAGATTACTACTTTTTAAAATCTTTCTCAAATTTAATTGAACCACCTTTAAATTGTTTAGGAGTTTTGAAAACTTCAAGACCTCATTTTAGAATTTTTAAACTAGGTATGTTGTTTTTTTTTTTTTTTTCTTCATCTATTTAATTACTAAAGTTTAGCTATTATTATTATTATTATTATTTTTATTATTATTATTACTATTATTATTATTATTATTGTTATTATTATTATTATTATTATTATTATTATTATTATTATTATTATTATTATTATTATTATTATTATTATTATTATTATTATTATTATTATTATTATTATTATTATTATTATTATTATTATTATTATTATTATTATTATTATTATTATTATTATTATTATTATTATTATTATTATTATTATTATTATTATTATTATTATTATTATTATTATTATTATTATTATTATTATTATTATTATTATTATTATTATTATTATTATTATTATTATTATTATTATTATTATTATTATTATTATTATTATTATTATTAGTTGGTAAAAATATGGTTAGTCAAGTGCTTGAAACTATCGGCTACCAAATATCAGATATTTCATTCCCTTACGATTTAAGAGCTACATTGAATAGTTACAGAAACGGTGAATTCAGTATTTATCAATAAAATTTGTTAATAGTAATTTATTAAATGTATATGTTAAAGATAAATCAATGTGGTTTGTTTAGGTTGATAGATTTAAGGATGTTTGGATGTTGTGTGATTGGAGGTTGGAAACTATGTTAATATTAAATATAAGTGTACTAGTCCTCGGGGCTGATTATATGGTAGTTTGAAGGTTTTATAGAGTGACGTTACGGATAATCTATCTTTGTTTTTTTGCTGTAATTGATTCATACTGAATTTTGATAAAATGTGGCAAATCATTTTTCCTTTAGAGAATTTTCTTTTTATAATTTATTTCATTCTTTTTAACATTTTGATGGTATTTTCTTTTCTATTTGTAAATAAAACGCCTCTTCTGTGGGAAATGTTGTTTATGTGGGTGATGCATTTGGTGTTAATACAATTAGTGATATTTGATATAGATGTTAACATTTGAAACGTGCATCTTTTTTGAATACATTTATTATCGGTAATTAACACCAACCACATAAACGACTCTTTTGAGGTTCTTTTACATAAACCGAGTTTCACTGCATTTGTTAAATATGTGATATAACTGGTAATTACATTTATATTAGTTAATTATGTGCCAGGCTGGCATTATGTTGTCATCCGTAATCATAATGTCACAAGTGTTCCAGAACATTCTTTACGAGCAGAAAAGGTTCTGGAATAGTGAGTCACATCTAAAAATCAATATAAAAAGAAAATAAAAATAATTATTTTCTTCAGTCTTTTAACTCTACAAAAAATATTAAAATATAAAAATAATATATATATATATATATTATTTAATTATTTTTTTATTTATTATGCGATTCAGGTGATCGTTGATGTCGCCAATGTAATAACAGAGGTTAATTATATTAAATAATATTTCAATAAATATTAACATTAACTTCTAATACAATATACCTCTGTTATTACATTGGGGATATCAACCGTCCCCTGAATCGCATTATAAATAATTAAAATTATATATACACATATTACTTTTTATTTTAATATTTTTTTATAAAGTTAATTATTATTTTTTTTTTTTAAAGTTTATATTAACCAGTTTAGTTACAAATTGTGATAGAACAAGTAACATAATGTAAAAAAAGGAAAATAAAAATATTTATTTTCTTCAGTCTTCTTCCTTAAAAAAAAATATAAAATTATAAAAAATATAAACAATTAAAATATAACTATAGATAAGAATTCTCAAATATCCAAATTTAGTAAAAGTTGTAAAGTCATTTAGGTTATTCAAATAGAGTTATAAATCAGCAAATAATAATAAAATATTTAGTATATAAAAAAGAAAATAAAAATTAAATTATGAAGATTATTCAGAGAGTTAATTAGCCATAAAATATATAAATAAAAAAATAAATAAAGATACTCCTCTTAAATATATAATAAAGATAAAATAAATTTGTTTAGATAATACTTTTTATTATTGGTTTATTCTCATTAAATAGAAGAATTGTTTGGTATTATAGTTGATTAATCATTGGATTAATTGTGTAATTTAATTGTCTATTAGAAGGCTAAAGTACGTCCTAAAATTACAAATATTGTAATAAACACGAATGAATAATGATGCCATAAAACCACCTAAGGTTTAATCCAAGGTTATAAACAAAAGGTCTTAAGAGAAGGTCTGATTAGAAGGTCTCAACAGAATATAACTTATAGGTTCCTTTGGGCAATATTTCCGTACAAAAGCTAAACAAAATTATAAAATAAAGATACATTCATTAATTAACAATAAATAGATAAACAGATAAAGAGTCTTTATTATTATTATTGATTTTATTGTGGAACTTATATTTATATAAATACAGTTATATAAATAATAATCCAAGGGACAATTAAAGTTTTCTTGTAAGAGAAAAGATGGTAATACATAAAGATATGTTTTTTTTTTTTTTAATAACCTCATCCAATTGGATGTTTTCGAATCTTGTTTTTATTTATTAATTATTTTAATTTTAAAGTTTTTTTTTCTGTGACCACGTTAATTCGTGGTATGACCAAGACTTGAATCAAGGGCCATGGAGGCTGTGTTATTCTGTGTGAAACCACTATGCTAAGCCCCCACTTACATAAAGATATGAGTCACGCGATTCTTTTCAAAATCATAAGATTCGGCTCGATTAGCTCAGTCGGCAGAGCGTGGTGCTAATAACGCCACGGTCGCAGGTTCGATCCCTGCATCGAGCAATCAATTTTAAAGATGACCTAATTAAGGTCATGGGTTCGATTCTTATGAAAACCAAAAGGGAAGCACACCATAATTAACCAAACCTTCCTTCTCCCTTCATAACAACAAACTCACACCAATCTTCAATCCACCCTCCATCCCAGACACAATTATACATGGATACTACCACACGATATAAGACTTCAAATGGTCCTACCGCGACATTAACCTAGACCTCCATAGAACCGAAGCATATCGAAACTACATATCCATAATACTTCACAACATCTGGACTTGGGCATGCAAAATAACCTTCGACCCCTCTAACTCCATTCAAGAAAAAGAATTTATCAAATCCCAGCAAATGAACGATGAAATGGTCAACTCTCAATGGACAAAAATTAACAACATGAAATACTCCAAGATCACTCTCTCACTCAACACCCAAGCAATCAAAACTGGCTTCACAACAGCCTCTCACAACACCAAATGGAAAAAAAAAATTTAAAACTTAAATCACATATGGAACTGCCACCACCTACCAAACACAAAACCACTAACATTCTATTAAAAACACCCCTCTAAACATATAAGAAAAAACATTTAAATAAATAAATAAACATTTTACAAATAGCGTATTGCTATATAATAAAAAAAAAAAAAATAATTAACCGGAAAAAGCTCGAATTCCAAAATAACAACAAAAAAAAAAACAAAAAATCATGATCATTATTAGGAATCGTTCTTCGATATTTGACTTTGGAATCTAGATAAAAAAAAATAATAATAGTAAAAAAAAAAAATATATAAAAAGTTGTAATACTCAAACTATAACCAACACAAATATATAAAAATTTTAAATTTTTAAGGCAAAAAATTTATCTAATAGACACTGCCGATAGACCTTGTCTTATCATTGGAAAAAAAAATACTTTTTTTAAAATTACAAAAAACTTTATTATTAAAAAATATAATTATTCAAATTAATTAATATCAATATTCTTTAAATAGTATTTGGTTGATTTTGGTAAATGTTTAATTAGGTTGTCTATTAATTCTATTTGGGAGAGTGCGTAGTTATAATGAGATAAAGTAATGGATTGAACTAATTTTATTTGAATTTCTTTTAAATAGTTTGAGTCAATCTTTGAAATTAAACTTTGTTGGCCATATTGCATATCTATATATTGGATAACGTCTTCAATACCAACTAAACCAACCAAAGATATTAAAACTTGTTTTATTTTTTCATATTTTTCTACATTAATTTCTCCTTGAGCATTTAGAATTTTTCCTTTATTTAAAATTCTTTTAACTTCTAATATTTGAGAATCTTGGTCAACTTCTGTTGGGAAAAGCATTTGAGAAACTCTTTTAAATATTTTAGCTTTATATAATTTATGGTTTTCAATAGAATTGTTTGGTCTAATATATATTACAGAGGAAATTTTATATGGAAATTTATTTATGTTTGGGATAATTTCTTTTAATAAAGTTATAGAACCTCCTTCAAGTACACAACCAATACCATTTTCATTTGATTTTTCAATATCATGATTTCTTTTTATTTCATCTAAAATGGTAAATAAACTATTTATAAAAAATGTTTCTTTGATATTATCATTTCCTGGTTCAACCATTAAATCTGTTAGGTAAATTCTTTTTGTTCCTGAATATTCATTTTCTTCTGGTCTGCCAGATGTTATACTTAATTCTGGAAAACATTGAATTCTATCTAAAACTACTACAGGTACTTTATATTTCTTTGAATAGTTTATTGACAAATCTGTTTTTCCGACACCGGTAGATCCAATTATTAATAAAATCTTCATTTTTTAATTTTAATTTTTTCCAAATAAATAAAATTTTTTTTTTATTTTTTTTTTTTTTTTATAAATTTTTTTTTTATTTTTTATTTTTTATTTTTTTATATTATTTTTTTTAAAATTTTATACTAAAAAAATGTTTTAATGTTTGTAATATTATTATACTATCTATTATTTAATTTTTCAAAATTTAACAAGGAAGAGAAGATTGTTTTGAAAGTCTTTTTTTATAGTTTTTTGATTGTTATTGGGTTTTTTTTTCAAAATTATAATTAATTAAATTTAAAATGAAATGGATCTGGATTTTTTAACTAAATATAAAAAAAAAAAGAAATTTAAAAAAGAAATTTAAAAAATAAATTAAAAAAAAAAAAAATATAAAAAAAATAAAAAAAAAAGATTTGAATAAAAAAAATAAAAAAAAAAAAATAAAAAAAAAAAAAAAAAAAAAAGTCTAAATTAATATTAGTACTTTAAATGGGCTAATAACTGTTTTGATAGTGGCTCATATTATAATGCCTAAAATAGAGGAAAATTGTTTAACTATTAATTTTTATTTTAAAAAAAAAAAAAAAGTGGAAGAATTTTAAAGTAACTTAAAAAAACAACAGATTGTAACTGTATTTAGATAATGATACTTATCAAAATCTTTTTGTAGAAACATATGCACTGGCATTCAAGTATATAACTTAATACCAAAAAAAAAGAGAATCTAAAAAATAATATTAATTTAAATTAATATTAGCACACATTTCTTAAAAGGTTTTTTTTTTTTTTTTTTTTTATTTTTTTTTTTTTTATATTATCAAGCTTATGCTTATTCAAAAATAATATAAATTTTTAATTTATATTCAAAAATAAATATAAATACAAAAATTTTGTGTGTGTGTGTGAAAAAAAAAATATAGATGTAATTATTTATACAATTTAATTAAATAACCACAAAAATTTTATATTTAATAAAGAGGTAATTAATTTTTAAAAAACTAATGGGAACTATTAACCAATTTTGCATAAATAATTTCTGTTTTTTTTTTCTTCATTTTTCAAAAAACTTTTTGATTTGTTGTTTGGATTTTTTTTAACTTTTTATTTATTTTTGTATTGGTAAATATAATTAGGTAATTGAATAAATATCTTTTTTATTTTTATTTATTTTATTTTAACGTATTTTTTTTTTTTTTTTTTAATTCCTGAAAAAAAAAAATTAAAAAAAATGAAGAGGGAAAAATAGAATATATTTAAAAGTAATATTAATTAATGTTTCCAAGATGGTTTATCATCTTCATCATAATTATCATGATCATCATCGCCATCATCTTCATTAGAGTTATGGTCATCATTATCATTTTCATTATTATTATTTCCAGATTTTACGATAGTTTCGGTTGGAATTTCTTCATAATCTTGTTGTTGGTCTTCATTATCACCATCTTCATTCATATCTTCATTTTTATCATCGTTGTCATCGTATTCATCATCACTACTTTTTTCCTTTATGGTTTTTTTAAATTGATGTTGTTGTTTTTGTTGAAGTTGTTTTGCTAATAATTGTTGTTGTTGTTGTAGTTTTAGTTGTAATTGTGATAGTTGCTGTTGTTTTATCAATTGAGGTAATAATTGTTGTTTTTCTTTATCTTGTACCCATTGTATATTTAAATTCTTTCCTTTGTAAACTTTTGCAACAACAAACACTCTTTCGGCGGATTGTCTTTTACCAAATTTAATTTGAATTGAATTTTCCTCTTGAATGATAGATTCTATGTCGGTGAATAATTGTTTTAATAATGATTCATTTTTAAATTCAGAAGGTGGATCAATAATTTGAATGGTAGTGGTTGTATTATCAATTAATAGACTATTATTCTTTGGCATTTTTTTGGCCACTATTGGTTTTTGAATGGCCACTCTTGGCGGTAATTTTTTAAAAGCT